TGATTGCATAACATATGTAGATCTATGCAAATTACCATGCAAGTTAAATAGGGGAGAAGTCTGAAGTAGTAAGAAGGCCAAAGTCCCTTGCTGAGTGTGTTTTCCTTCCCACCAGGAAATGGTATTAATTTCTTAGGCTCAGAAAGTGGGGGCACTGACACACAGTGAGAAAAAAAATCAATTGAGAGTTATGCAAGTAAAAAAAAATTTAGTTATTGTTTTTTTCTAAGAGATAGAAATAAAAAACATTCCACTTATCAACTTTAAATAGTAGGAACACAAAGCATAAAATTATTGAGTTTTATATGATGGCCAACTAAGATGATAGAAGAAGAGGGAGAAAGCAAACAGACAAAAAAGGAGAAACTGAGAAAAACCCTCAAATTGCTTGTATCCCTCAGAAGCAAGAACATCACCGATGTGATGATAATTCTTTATATTCACAGAAAACAAAAAAAATCTTACACAAACAATCCTCTGGGTTTAAAACATATATACATTTTCAGGGTTTCATTAAAACTGTTTAAATTTCTACCTAAAATTTGGGAGGAGGGGTACTCATTCATTTTTTCAACAACTATTTTGAGCGTACACACGTCCCGGGCCTTGAAGTAGGTGCTGGAGAACACCTGAGAATAGGATGTGGGCACAGTAACTGCCTTTCTGGGGCTTGCCTTTTATCTGGTTCTCTGTTCTAATTTTCAAAGGAGGAAACACCCTGTACCTACCTTCTCTAGAAAAGAAAAATTATCCATCTCATTTTACAAAGGGAAAGTCCCACTTTTTGGAGCACTGCTTTGTGGGTGGCCCCCATGTATTGCTATTTAGGACTTGAGGGCCCTGTCACAATTCCCCACAGCTAAGTGCCCGTGGAATTGCCTTTTAGCAAAGACTTCAAGGGGATGCCAACCTCATAGGTTGCATTTCCTGGGATATCACTCATTTCAAACGTTTTGAGTCAATGTCTCCCCCAGCTCCTGAGCTATCACCTGGGCCACCATATTACTCTACTTCAGTCACTGCAATAGTCTCCTGACCAGTCTCCTTGCTGCCAGCCTTGCCTTCCTTCTGTCTGTGCTCCACGCAGCAGCCACAGCCATCCTGTTCAAACCTAAGACAGAGAAGCAACTTTGAAATGGCCTCCCGTTTACTCAGAGGGTCCCTACAATGGCTTACAGGCCAGCAGTCCTGTTCCTGCAACCTCCTCACCATCCTGTCACTCAGCTCCAGCCACATACCACTAGCACAGTCACACATTAGTCTTTGCATTGGGCAACCCTCTCGCCAGAGTACTGCCTCCCCACAGCCCCCAAATTCACATAGCTCACTTCCTCACCTTCCATGACTGGACTCAATTCTCACCTTCTAATGGAGGCCTTCTCAACTACCCCCATTTAAAATCACAAATCCCTGTGCCCTACACACTCCCTGTCCTCTTTTCTGGCTTAATTTTTCTCCATAGCACTTATCACTCTAATTTATTGTGTATTTCAATCATTTGTCTTGTTTATTACCTGTCTCTCCCCCATAGAAAAAAACTCCCTGAGAGGTAGGATTTTTGTCTATTTTGTCTACATTGCTGTATTCTCAGTGCCTTGAAGAGTGACTGATAAATTAGGTATTTGAAAAATATTTGTTGATAGTCCTTTAATTTAAATTGACTTAGTTTTATGAGAAATGTGACTACATTCTTCACATTTTTGTCATTTTACAGAGGACTTCATCAATGGTTCAGCCTAGTTGTCATATTCACAATTGGGAAGCCCTGGCCCAGAAGCTGTTAAGTGCCTGGAGACAAACCCTGGCCCTGAACCCTAACATCAGTCGCAGAAAGGTTAGGCCCTCTTTGATGCTCAGTTCTCATAGGCTAGGTACCTGAACAACAAATGTCTGAGCCTCCTCCTAAACACAGGCAGATTTACTTTGCAGACAGTTGAGGACGCATTTTAATTTGTTGATGTGAAACCTTAATTGAACTAAACTGCTAGAGGTAGTCTCTGTTCTCTGTCATAGTCTTAATTTAGTTGGCAAAACAAGATATCATCAGAGGAAAATCACAGGCAAAGATGCCGTGCCCAGAGGGTTTGGGGAACACCCTTCTGCATTTGGAGGTGGGTTCATATGTGATTAGCATAAGCAAGAACCCCATCCATACAACTCAGGATGCTCACTTGGCTTTCCAGGAATACTCAGGGGGCATCACATGGGCTCAGACACATAGGCCCTCCCAAAGCAGCCAGGCTAACACTGCTTCCCTCCTATATTCCATGTTCTATTTTTAGTGTTAGAGCAGAGAAGAGATAGAGAATTTCTCCTCTAAAAGTATTAAAGTGTGAGAGGTGCCAGCTCTATTACTCACTTGCTACGGTATCTTTAGCAGGCCACTTCCCCTACCTGGGCTGTGGTTTCCCCATCTGTTCAACAAACAGGTTGGAATCCATGTACCTAAAGGCTTCAGTAGCTAAGATGCTATGTATGAATATCTCAGGCCCTTAGGCCTGTGTCAGCACCCAGGATAAGACTTCTGACTCTCGTCCAACAGGTCCCTGCTGAGTTTCTAGCCATGGCATATGTGCATACCAATGGCTTCACTGTCATTGCCAGGAGGTCAAGCTATAGGCCTTTCACTAATGTAGCCATATCCCTGACACAGAATCTCAGGCTACGATTCTGGTTAGGCCCCCAGGAGGGGGTCTTAGAAATCATAGTCTTGGTGACAGATGCCCACTCCATTCTTTTCCCAGACCTCTGCCCCCAGCAGCCTTCTACATATGCTACTGGCCCCACCCTGGCAGCTTCTAGCTACTAAGCCTGTCCATATCTGGGGAAGCTCCTGCTGGGCCCTTGCTCCATGCTCACCCTCATGAGGATGCAGCTACCCAAACAGGCTGAAGCAAATAACCTGAGGCATTGGCAAGAATCATCCCCATGGACAGTTCAGCTCAGACTCCTGAATTATATTATTCCAGAGACAGTGTCTGCAAGGGAGTTTCCAGGGAAGTGACTCAGGCCTTGGAGATAAAGCACAGCTGTAGTAGGGCTAGGGGCAGCTTCCCTGAGGATCAGATTCCTGAGCTGGCAAGTCCTCACTCTAGTGACTCATTGACTAGACTGCAGGTCTCAGTACCTGCATTTAGTCACAGGTTCTTCTCATACTAGGAATAAGGTACCAGCAGAGGCAATGACATGTACAAGGAAGATCACAGCTTTGCAGTAGAAACTACCTGGCAAGTCCTTTCTGCTCATTGAGTCTATTTCTTCATCTGATAGTTAAAGATAATACCTACCTCAGAGAACTGTTTGGAGAACTAGGTGCTATAATGCTTCCACAGTGCCTAGCATCATGCATGGTCCAGAGACTGTACTCCCCATATGGTGGCAACTGATGTGTTATCACAGTGCTTGGCATCCGGAAGGTGCTCAGTAAATGCAATTTTGATCATCACCCACCAGAAGACACACAGAGCTGCAGAGCTCCTTTCAACTCTGTGGAGATGGCAGTAAATTGCAGATCACACAGACATATCCCTGAGGCTCCTCTCTTCCTAAAGCCTTTTGTCTTGCTCTGCTCTGCTTCCCTGAAAATTCCGATAGCTGGTTGGTGGCATCATGGCATTTGGAAGATAAACTGTGAGTCTGCCTCCCTCTTCCCTCGGTGGAAGCTGAAGATGGCTTTTTCCCATCCCAGGATAGAAGGATTGAGGGCGTTTATCTAAAGCCAGCAGGGCTTCTTGCTCAGAAACGGCCTGAACTTATGAGCAGCCTTCCTTGAGGAGGGTGGGGAGGGCCTTCCTTTGTAGATACTGGGCTCAGCTTTTAACTAGGTAAGACTCAGATCGTCAGAAACCTCCCTCAGATTCTTAAGCAAAAATTGAATGCATTGACTAACAAGCTTGGAGAGGTTTCAAATCAAAGGGTCAAAGAACCAGAACCAAAACCACAGGGACTGGAACCAGGAACTCAGCATGCAGTGATATGCTCTCCCCGGAGAAAATAAAACTTGGTATTTGGTAGAGATTGGACCCACTTTACATTGGGAGGCCAGGAAAGGTCATTTAAGGGCAGGCCTCTGGATGGGCAGCTCCAGACAGAGGTAAAATAATCACCAGTACAAAGGTCCCAAGTCAGGAATGAGCTTGTTCAAGACACAGAAAGAAGCCAGGGTAAGCGGAGAACAGTGAGCCAGCGAGAGCAGAGACATAACAGCCTGGAAGGAGGCAGGAGCCAAATCACAAAGGATATTATAGGCAAGCTATGGCATTTTTATTGTATTTAGAGGATTATGGGAAGACTTTGGAGGATTTTAAACAACAGAAGGCCCTGGCTGCTGTGGCTCAGTGGACTGAGTGCAGGCCTGTAGACTTTTAAAGAGTCACAGGTTCAGTTCCCAGTCAGGGTACATGCCTGGGCTGCAGGCCAGGTTCCCTAGTAGGGGATGAACAAAGAGGCAGCCACACACTGATGTTTCTCTCCCTCTTTCTCCCTCCCCTCCCCTCTCTCTAAAAACAAATAAATAAAATCTTAAAAAAAAAAAAACAGAGGGAGGAGATCTAACTTAAGTTTTTGTTTGTTTGTTTGTTTGTTTGTTTGTTTAAAATACTCTGGTTACCATATGAAAAGGAGAGCAGAGATCAGGGTAGAAAGAGGGTTTGAGGGAAAGTCTGGGGCAAAACCAGGCTTGGGCACAAGTGGGGATAAGAGTTCTATTTTGGTCATTTTAAATTTGAGATGCTGGTTAGACATATTAGTACCCTAGGGCTGCTATAAGAAAAACCATAGCCCTGGCTCAGTTAGTTGAGCATTGTCCCACACATCAAAATGTTGAGGATTCGATCACCAGTCAGGGCACATGTGAGAGGCAACCAACTAATCAATGTTTCTCTCTCACATCAACGTTTCTGTTTCTCTCTCTCTCTCCCTCCCTCCCTTCTTCTCTCTCTAAAAATCAATAAACATATTCTTGGGAGATAAATAAAAAGTAATAATAAAAAAATAATGATTGTACTGCATGGTATCTGCATGCAGCACTTTATTCCTGCTGTGTGTTCAAAAAACAGTGCAATATAAATCAGTATCTGGCATCATTGGTTTGCTTGGCTTTGTGCATGTTAACTGGTTTTTGGCTTCCGCAAACACACGCAGATCGACAGAGACAGCTACGACGCAGCGTCACAAACCAGCGACCTGGGTCGCCCCGTCCTGGTAAACAACTAAGGCTTCGCTCCGCTCACTTAACAGCACGAATAGACCAAAAATGGCTCTAGGACAACTCAGAGCCCCAGAACCGATAGACCTAAGTGATGAAGAAATAGCCAGTCTTTCAGATGCACAGTTCAAAACACTGGTTATAAGGATCCTTATAGAACTGGTTGACTTTAGTCACAAATTAGAGAAACATATGGAAGCTAAATTAATTGAAATGAATGGGGATACAAAAGATACCAATAGTAATGGAAAGAAAATTGGGACTCAAATCAAGGGAGAGAACCAGAAGGAAATAAAAAATGATCAAACAGAAAGGAATGAAGAAATAAGAATTCAGAAAAATGAGGAGAAGCTTAGGAACCTCCAGGACATCTTTAAACGTTCCAACATCCGAATTATAGGGGTACCAGAAGGGGGAAAGGCACAACCACCAGTTGAAAAATTATTTGAACAAATAATGAAGGAGAATTTCCCCAAGATGGCAAAGGAAATAGACTTCCGAGAAATCCAGGAAGCTCAGAGAGTCCAAAAGAAGTTGGACTCAAGAAGGAACACACCAAGGCACATCATAATTACATTAGCCAAGATTAAAATGAAGGAGAGAATCCTAGAAGCAGCAAGAGCTAAGGGGACAGTCACCTACAAAGGAGTTCCCATCAGACTGTCAGCTGATTTCTCAAGAGAGACCTTACAGGCAAGAAGGGGCTGGAAAGAGGTATTCCAAGTCATGAAAACCAAAGATCTACAACCAAGATTGCTCTACCCAGCAAAACTTTCATTTAGAATGGAAGGACAGATAAAGTGCTTCTCAGATAAGACCAAATTCAAGGAGTTCATCATCACCAAGCCCTTATTATATGAAATGTTAAAGGGACTTACCTAAGAAAAAAGAAGATAAAAAAAGATGAACAGTGAAAGGACAGCAAACTCACAGTTATTAAGAACCACACCTAAAACAAAAGCAAACTAAGAGGATAGCTAGATCAGGGGCGAAACAAAGGAAAAGAGGGGGGTTGCAGGGGGAGGAGGGGAGGGGGGGGGGGAGAAAACAGAGAAGAAAAAACATAGGGGTGTGACAAAAACAAAAGAAGTAGAAAAGAGGTGGGGGGGGGGGAGGGCGGTTTGGCAGGGGGGGAGGTCACAGGGAGAAAAAAAAAAAAAAAAAACTGGTATTTTTATTGTGTTTTTAAAATATATTTTGTTGATTATGCTATTACAGTTGTCCCATTTTTTCTCCCATTTCTTCCCCTCCACCCTGTTCCTGCCTCCTACTATCATTCCATCCCCTTATTTCATGTCCATGGGTTGTACATATAAGTTCTTTGGCTTCCCCATTTCCCAAACTATTCTTGACCTCCCTCTGTCTATTTTATACCTACCACTTACGCTTCTTACTCCCTGTTCCTTTCTACCATTTTCCCTTTCCCCCTCCCCACTGATAACCCTCCATGTGATCTCCATTTCTGTGATTCTGTTCCTGTTCCAGTTGTTTGTTTAGTTTTGTTTTGGGGTTTTTTTAGGTTCAGTTGTTGATAGTTGTGAGTCCCAAACCAGATAGTTGTCATTTTACTATTCGTATTTTTCATCATCTTCTTTTTCTTAGATAAGTCTAACATTCCTTTAACATTTCATATAATAAGGGCTTCCTGATGATGAACTCCTTTAACTTGACCTTATCTGGAAAGCACTTTATCTGCCCTTCCATTCTAAATGAAAACTTTGCTGGATAGAGCAATCTTGGATGTAGGTTCCTTACCTTTCATGATTTAGAATACTTCTTTCCAGCCCCTTCTTGCCTGCAAAGTTTCTTTAGAGAAATCAGCTGACAGTCTGATGGGAACTCCTTTCTAGGTAACTCTCTACTTTTCTCTTGCTGTTTTCAACATTCTCTCCTTGTCTTTAACCTTGGCTAATGTAATTATGATGTGCCTTGGTGTGTGCTTCCTTGGGTCCAACTTCTTTGGGACTCTCTGAGCTTCCTGGACTTCCTGGAAGTCTATTTCCTTTGCCAGATTGGGGAAGTTCTCCTGAATTATTTGTTCCAATAAGTTTTCAATTTCTTGCTTTTCCTCTTCTTCTTGCACCCCTATGATTCAGGACATTTAACATTGGAAAATTTAAAGTTGTCCCAGAGGTTCCTAAGCTTCTCCTCATTTTTAAAAATTCTTGTTTCTTCATTCTATTCTGGTTGAATGTTTATTCTTCCTTCTACTCCATATCATTGATTTGAGTCCCAGTTTCCTTCCCTTCACTGTTGGTTCCCTGTATATTTTGCTATATTTCACTTTGCATAGCCTTCACTTCTTCCTCTATTTTGCGACCATGCCCAACCATTTCTGTGAACATGCTGATTGACAGTGTTTTGAAGTCTGCATCTGATAGGTTGGCTATCTCTTCATTGCTTCTATTTTTGGAGCTTTGATATGTTCTTTCATTTGGACCATATTTCTTTGTCTCAGCACACCTGTTATACTGTAAGGGGTGGAGCCTTTATCTACTGTATAAAGGGGCAAGGCAATTATATGAGTACATATACGGGTAGGCAAGTAGAATTGGGGCTAAGAAAATGAGGGAGTACCTTGTCTAATTGATTCTATTTTCTCCGTGAGGTATGAAGAAAAGTCATCAGCTAAAAGTGAGGAGTGAAAGATGTTTGAAGAGCTAGGATAAGTTATGAAGCAGAAGTTTTGAAGAGTGAAAAGGTGAACATATTAGAGTACGAGGAGGATTATGGAATAGTAAGTGTCCTCTTAAGATTTCCCATTCATACTTAGGACTCTTCCTAGACATCTTTCTTCTGGATCTGCACTTTCTCTCAGGAAAGGGCTTGCTGGCCCTAGTTAGGTCATATGCCTATCTCCAATCCAATCACTCTATCCAGAGGATGAGATACTGGGATAAAGCAGGCCTTGGTCACATGACTACCGCTGTGACTAGAGGGGCTAGTGTTATGACTGGCAGCCCCAGCAGAACCCCCAGAGTGGGGCAGGAGTAGTTCCCCAAAGAAAACAGAGATGTTAGACAGACAAAAGGCAACAGAGAGGTTCACTATCCTCTACTGTTCTCACAGGGTTGTCCTGAGGCTCAGTGAGACATCTGCAAAATTGTATCATGGTATGTGTTCACATCTACTCTCATTTGACTAGCTAAAGCAAGCCACATAGCAAAACCTGGAAACAACGGGGTAATGAAGTATCCTCCTTCCACAAGAAATACTGAAAGTCACATGGGGATATTTGGTGATTTATAATACTTTCACAGAGAGGAAAAGTAAATCATTGGGAAAAATAATATAATCATCACGAAGGGTTAAAAGCATGTGAACTCTCATTATTAAACAATAAAAGGGACTGGAGTCCTATAATTCAGGGCATTAGGAGTGAAAGCGGAGAGCAAAACTCTCCAGTGGAGAGATCAAAGAAAGCTTCTTAGAGGAAGTGGCTTTGGGGCTGGGTTTTGAACAACACTAGAATATCTAGATGGGTATAGGAGAAGGAGGCAGGGCATGCTAGCAGAATAACAATATGAGAAAGCCACAGAAGAGGTACAGTCAGATGCTTATACAGAGAATGGTGAGTGGTTTAGTTAGCATAAAGCAGAGGAATTGGAAGGAAATAATGGAAAGACAACAAAATGAGACTTCCGCCAAGATGGAGGCGTAGGTGGAAACACCTTGCGTCCTCACACAACCAAATCTAAAAACAACAAAGTTTTAACAACAATAAACGCAACCAAACCACACAGAAAATCGACAATACGGAGTCCGAAAACAATGAAATGCTCACCTAAACCAGTAAGAGGGGCGAAGCCAGCAGTGCAGCAGGTTGGCCAAAAAGATCCCCGACAGGGGTGGTGCGCAGGCAGCTGAAGGCGCGGATCCCAGGTACGAGCTAGCTATGGGTGGACACAGGGAAGAGGCGCGGCTGGCTGTCTGTGGTTGGTCAAGCATTTGTGTGCAGATGAACCAGTGAAGAGGCGACCATTGAGACTGCACGGCGCAGGGCGGCCGGCTCGCACATTTCCACTCAGATAAACAGGCGGGAGCGAGCTGTGGGACAGAATGGGCAAGTGGAGAGGACCGCCATTGCTCCCTCTCTGACCCCGCCCCCACATACAGCTTCACAAACCAGTGACCTGGGTGGCCCAGCCCTGGTAAACAACTAAGACTCTGCTCCTCATACGGAACAGGCACAAACAGATCAAAACATGGCTCAAGAACAACTCAGAGCCCCAGAGCCAATAAATCTAAGCAATGAAGAAATAGCCAAACTTTCAGATGCACAGTTCAAAACACTGGTGATCAGGATCCTCACAGAACTGGCTGATTTTAGTCACAAATTAGAGGAACATATGAAGGCTAAACTAATTGAAATGAATGGTAATGCACAGGAAACCAATAGTAATGGAAAGGAAACTGGGACTCAAATCAAGGGAGTAGACCAGAAGGAAGGAAAAAAATGACCAAACAGAAAAGAATGAAGAAACAAGAATTCAAAAAAATGAGGAGAGGCTTAGGAACCTCCAGGACATCTTTAAACGTTCCAACATCCAAATTATAGGGTACCAGAAGGGGAAGAGGAGCAGTCACTAGTGGAAACCTTATTTGAACAAATAATAAAAGAGAACTTCCCCATTCTGGCAAAGGAAATAGACTTCCAGGAAATCCAGGGAGCTCAGAGAGTCCCAAAGAAGTTAAACCCAAGAAGGAACACCCTAAGGCACATCATCATTACATTAGCCAAGATTAAAATGAAGGAGAGAATCCTAGAAGCAGCAAGAGATAAGGGGACTGTCACCTTCAAAAGAGTTCCCATCAGACTCTCAGCTGATTTCTCAAAAGAGACCTTACAGGCAAGAAGGGGCTGGAAAGAGGTATTCCAAGTTATGAAAACCAAAGACCTACAACCAAGATTGCTCTATCCAGCA